TCCTAACGACATTGATATTTAGACTAGGTGCACTATAATTGTAATGTAAACATCTATTTTCAGGCTATTTTTTATGGTAAATTTTGTCCCAGTCGCCATAAACGCCAAGCCTGACCTTAACATTACAGAATGCTTAGATAATGACAAATTGAATCCAAGATTTGCTGTGCGAGTATGGGGCACGCAAGCCTTCGTATATGATTTATACGAACAGAGAACGAAACGCCCAAAGTCGACTAGGAATGCTCGGCGTCCCTGTTAGCCGAGCTTGCTCTAAGTTTTTAACACTACAGTATGCACCACTCGACTCAAAAGTCATTGAGTGTAGTATCTAAATGTTCCTTTCTTGTAGTTCAGAACATTTGATGATAATAGTAATAATAGTGCATATGGAATTGTGGTTTCCGTAAAAGGTGTTGAGAGCACCTCCCAACTCGTAATGAGTGCCACGCGTGATGACAGATAGGTAGGGAATGCATTGGTAACTTTAAGTTAATCATATTGTCGTTCTTTTTGTTACTAACTCACTGAACGAAAGTGCGCTTGTCCTAATCGCTTGCAGGCATCCACGTTCTTCTTCGTGCTTGACCAGTGCAAGCGCCTGCAGGAGGTGAAGTAGACAACGAACTCCATCAACTGCGATCATCATCCTGCTGGAGCGGGGTGCGACCTCAAGCCGCCTCATGACGCGTTCATCGGTCATTGTGTGAACTGCCAGTCTTTCTCGCAGTCAACTACTTATCTTTGACGCCTTATGATTCCTTTATTATCTTCCTTTTTTGTACTTTTGTAGCATCATGTTGAAGCAGAAGTATTGAATTTAATTTGCATTGAAAAGTGAAACTTGTATGCCTTTTTACCATCCCTTTTCATAATAAGTCAAACCGGACTTACCAAATGTATTTTATGATCAATACGCTACTGAGTATGCTAGCCTGCTGCTCCCTGCGGATGACGTTTTCGGCCAAACTGGGTCAATCATGAAGTGAAGTGTCACCAAATTGATCCTAAGTCATTTCTTTACAAGTCGCATTACCATTTGTTAGAAATTGACCTTATTAATTTCGTTGGAGCCATTTTTGTTCTCCGTCCAAATATTTCTTCACTCACTAAATGAATTACGCCTTCATTGCGGCGCATAGCTCTCACAATTATTTGATCATTCACCTAAACTGATTAAAAACTAATGTCCTACACTGTTATTATGTAAACAGTTGGATTATCAGTTGGTGGGGATTCCCTCTTTCACAAATGCCCAGAGAACATTCCAACTAAATGTTTTCGTAAGTAGATGACATGGAAGAGGTGGTTGAGCGATCAAATGGATCTGCTGCATTGATTTGTTTAAACATTAAAAAGCTGCATCATTTCCGTCAAAACCATTTCAGCTTTAGTCTGTGACTAGATGAAGTGTATTTAATAAGCAACAATAACACAATCCCGATGATTTGTGCTCTTTGTTAATCGTGAATCCTTCTGGGTATATATATATGTATAGTGTATCCGAGAAAGGGGAATAGGGTTGATACAGAGAAACAGCTCGTTCCAAACGCGTACTTGATTGGGAGATTTGCAAAACTGCCGTTTCCTTACCAATGTCTTCTGTTCTGCCAGCGCCAATTCAAACGATTTTGTCCATACCTCCCACTCCTGGACCCGTGGCGTGGGCATGAACCCATCCAGCACTATAAGGGAATTAATCGCTTTTACGGAATCTTTGAAGGAAGCATGCCTTAAACCTTGCTTTTTTCAAAGCCAATCGGGAATGAAACTCAATTTGTTCAAAATAATTGGCCTTTTGGATTGGTTTGAGATAAATGTGTGTATATAGCTCTGGACTCCACTACTTTTTTCAAGTGAAGATTTTGTAAGACGTAGATCTGGCCATTAATTTATCGAATGATTATAGTTCTCTACTCATTGAGCTTGCACGTGCAGTACTCTTGAAAATTCTTCAAGAGCGGTTGGACTGGCCTCTGTAATGGAAATTAAGCATTCGTATTATTTGTAGCAAATTTTAGATAGTTAACTTCCAAATATCCTCTGATTAACTATGATGGGCGCGGATTCTTGAACTACGAAGTACAGTTGTGATATAGGCCAAATTCATGTTTACTATTGAAGCAGATCGGCAGATTGGGCTAACTCAGGCATGTTTCTCGCTCACTAAACGCTGCCAACGCTTTCAGTTAGTTTTCTGTTATATCTTGCACATTTTAATCCCTATTTATTTCACCGTCGATTTTTGTGCTGGGTGTTTGAGGAAATTACTTAGTCTCATGCTCCATAACTTTGAAGTGGAAAATCAAGGAACATGAAAGAGTAGATAACGGCAGCCGGAGATCAGCTGTGGACACTGTGTGAAAGCTCACTATTGCTCTTCTGGCATAAAAGTATCAGAAGACAAGCCAAGTAAAGCATCTGTTCGGCTTTATTGCAACCATGTGGGTGTGCGTCGTCCCTTTGAAGGGGCACACGGAGATGGCGTGATCGGACAACCAGATTTGCAGAAACAGTGGCATTTCGCGACTACCCACGCAACTGCGCGTGAGGAAGCACCTTTCCCCTCCCAATCACTCACTCGCTTAAGTTGGGGTGATCAGGAGACTATTAAACAAACGAGATTTCCTAATTTAGGCTTAGTTGAAAATGAACGAAAATTCTGTTAAATGATTATAATTTGTGATTCCTACATGATTATTGGATTAGAGTTTTTCAATTTTAAAGGGAAATGCTCCCGAATCTTTTAACATTGTTCCATCAACTCAAAATAAGATCGAGAATTTGAAGCATGAGTGGTCAGACGCCACTTAGCAGGTGGGATATGTGACCCAAGGAGTTGTACTTATGCAATTCTCACTCATGCATTGCTTTAGTGTATTCTTGAACGAGAATCCGATTAAAGCCATTAAGAAATAGGGGTAAGCGAGGAGTTGGAAGGTGCGTACCAGAATGAGTGGGGTATACTTCTTGGGTTTCTCCAAGAAGACACTCTCGGTAGAGATCCGCAGGATCTGACGTGATACCAGGGAGTGCGTAAGGAGAAGATACATCTTGCCAACTACCAACTTGCCGGGACAAGCGCAAGTACCTGGCCAGGCGTTGGTGAGGATAATTTTATCGTTGTACTCCACGATGTCCGACTTTAGTGTTCGTTTCACATTAAACCGAAAGAACGGTTGGAAGCGGTTGAACTTCCCAAACCACCAAAAGGTCTGGCTAATTTGCATGACAAGGGCTATAAAGAAGATTAAAAGACGAAATCGCTGACTGACATCTGAATGCATATTGCCTTTATGGCGCAATTTGGGGTAGGGGATGGGGTACACAACAAATGTTCTGGTATTAAATAAAAGATGCATTTTATCTGTGGGCTACCATCTTCACACCCGACTTCTCATGACAAGCGATAATTTTAGCATGAAAAAAAGTTATTAGTGACTTGAAAATAAGTTTAAGAGGATAAAGCATTTGACTAGACAGAGAAAAGTGGGTAACTGAACGTCATTCCTTTCAAAGCAATTGTGGTCACAAGCTGCAATATTATTTCGTCCGCGTGCACAACAACAACAACAAAAAATATGAAATCAGATTTGGTGTGAGAAATTCAAGTTCTACTCGAACAGCCGCTTCAAACGTGGTGAAAACACACACCATCCCAGCGGTGATTGAAATTTGCGCGAAGGCATTGGTTCACTGGTCATTTACTCCAATAGTTCAAGGCGCAAGGCATGTTTGAACATCAAAGTGAGGAGCAATCGCTTTTGGCCTGTACGAACATTTCATGAAGGCGAGAATAAATAGACCAGTGGCATGAACTGCAAAGCCTATCACCGAAGTACATATGACTGATACCTCACAATGCAAAAATGACACTGGATATTATTGCTAGATCTAAATTTAATGCCTACCAAGACTTTTGAAATGTGATTTTAAGCATGAAACACTTGTCAGCGATTTCGACTATTAAAACAGAGAGCCTCATTTCTATATAAATCACTTCCAACCGCCAAAAGATAAAATTCGTATAAAATTTGCTTATTTGTGTTATATCAATGTAAGGGACTTACCTACTGTAAAGTTACCTTGCTTCCAGTCATTTTTGGTGAAATTTTGAGGGAACATTTTTCCGCAGGTGACTTCAAAGTCTCTGGGGCATCCTGGATTCTCTGAAACAATAATGCATGTGACCGCATAAGCCAAAGTGATACGTGTGTAGGAGATAAAAAATTCACTTTTTATGTACGCACGACGTGTCTCCGAAGCGTAGTCTCGAGTGTAGTAGCGGTGATGTTTGGCAAGCTTTCTGGCCCAATCATCACATCCACCTGGGGGCAGGAGGCGACAGTCTTCGTGGCGCAGGTACCAGGTACCTTCCCCGTTTCGGCCTTCAGCTCCATCACCGCCACCACTATTTCTTACTGTGTCGTGAGAGGCGCGAGGTACCCGTCGGTGGGCGACGGAGGGCACATAGGGGCGCCATGGCCACACTGAATGGCCCCATGGAAGGGTCGAACGCTGCTGCCACGTCGGGCGAAGGTGGGCGGTGGAGCTCGGAGTGCTAAAGAAGTAGAGAGATGCTGAGCGTTTCGGGTAGGTCTGCCAGTGGCTGGGTGTCTCCTGAGAGCTCGCCGCTTGCATGCCACAGATGTCCACTGTGACGTGACATGAACTCTGACATGGGATGTCAAACATCTAAAACAATAAATATCACCTAGAATCCTTGATCCTTTTGGCTGGTTATGGCATAATTGTCGATGATGTATTATTTTAAATAGTATGAAAAATCGTCACCTTTTTCCGCCAGTCATTCGAATAGAAGTAAAACGCCTTTCAGATGAGTCCAGAAATCATAACATAACTTCTTTTTGGACGAGCCACGCTTCATTTAGAATTTTGCAGTGTTTTCGATGATCAAGTGTTTCAATACTTAATTGCCTGTGGGGCATAGCATTCCTCTAAATTGGCTGGTTATGCTAAAAATAACTCCCCTCCACTTTTTATTGCATGTAATTAAATGCACAAGTAGCACTTTTCACTTCTTTCTTTTGTGCCGCAGCAGCATTCTTAAAGAAATTTACGGAAATTTTGTTTTTGTTCGCAACAAAAGTTTCCAGTGACAAATTAGTTACTTTCAGCTATCCATTGCAAATCCTCGTCCTCTGTGATACCACCAAGCATAAAAGTGCATTTTCTTCCATGGGGTACTGTGCCATGCATTCATGTATCTCCATTCCTATTTTCACCGGACTGTCAGTCATCATACTGATATTGTGCATAGCATGCATGTCTCCACTTTCACTTCTGCACTTTTCTTTTGTTTTATTTCCGAATGCATTCAGTTTCATCTAGTCTCTGTGTTTTAGATTTTTCATATCCTAAATATTTATTGCCTTGAATAGACAATTCACTTGGAGTGTAAAAGTCAGGAGGTTTTTAGGGATTGACTTTGACACTTGTTCTATGGACCATGTCTGTTGCAACCGCTTCGGCAATTTTGGTTGCGGAAATACTGAAAAAAGATTTTTTTTTTAGTGAAGGTATTCACATCGACTTCACGCAATCGCTTCTTACCTGCTACCGCATCCAATGTTAAGAACACGGGCTCAGATGTGGGCGCCTTGACTGAATTACCTTACCCTGAATATTCGTGTTACTTTAAGGTAAACGTTTTTAGGGCCAATTAAAGCGAGAAGTTGACGCCGCTTTTTCCCACCGACTGGCTGGATCGCCTCACTGGGGACGGCGGACTGCATCTGCGCATTTAGCCGCAGCCGTCAGGAGCGGGGTGAGTGGGACGCTAGTGGCCTCGGGAGGTCGCAACGGGAACTGCAATTCTACTTTTCTTTTAACCTCGCCACTCATGGGAAAATGTGTCGAAACCATCCAAAAAGTAAGTGTACCTCCTTCACCAAGCTGCAAAATATTCCCAATTTTAATGTTCCCCAAAACATGCAAATTCAAAGCGAAATAGGTATTTAGTTAATTTAAAATGTTGAGGAAAGTTTGGCTCCGGTAAAGAATGTTACTGTATTGTGCTAAGTCTTACTCTACTTCTCAATATCACTAACGGGAGTTTACATATCGTAAGCTTTTTAGCTCCAAAATCACTATCAACTCAAACTCAACAGAGTAAAATATTTCCAAAAACTATTTCGTAGCTAGTGTTTTATTCCAGAGGCAACATTTTGATCCGTATAATAGCTGCTCGCATCACTGTGTATTTTTTGCCCAAGCAGAGCAATTCTATTTTAACAGGAGCATCATATTAATGGCCACTTCGGCTTGGATGCCCACGAATTCAAACAGCATCACTCACAGGCAAGTGTTAGCAACTTTGATGGGTTTTTATCTTAGAATACCAATCAAGGGTTTCGGTCATTGGGCCACTTGACCTTATCCGAAAATTGTTTTCTTTCTAGACGAAACCTTCCGTCAATAAATTACGATGCCTTTTTATCACCAACAGGCCTATTAGGGATAGTTCCAAGGGCGCGTACTTCCCAATTGAGTGGGAGATTTGGCAGAAGGATTAGCATTTCGTTGCACTTTATTGGTTTTTGAAAAAGTTTTGGGTTTTGCATTGTTTGATCCGATTGTAAATTTGGGAGTAGAAATAAGAAATGGAAATCAGTTGCATAAAAACCAGATATAATGACTGCCTTGGATAGATATAATTGACGTAGAAGTAGTACAATAATTCAGTGGATCTCATTTACTAAAATCATTGAATGAACCACTAAAGTAATTGATAATCTGACGAGAAATGACTCCACACTGTATGCTATAGTAAAAAACGGATTTCCCTTAACATCAGTGAACATCTAGATGGTAAATGATTCTAAAGGGAAAATGCACGTTACCTAAACAGTTTGCCCGGGTACTTTTATCTATATTGAATACAATTTCACACACTTGAGTGGCATCACTAGGACAAAGGTAAGTCGTAAGTGCCCGTGCTGAATTAGGTTGATTCCTCCTAAGAGTCGGGGAACTAAGTGTGCAATCCGAAGGAATAATAATTCCTTTGTTAATGCTACGTAGGACAAGGCAGATTCTCGATATATCCCGTATTGTTCATTTTTACCAGCACAAAACCCTCCACATTCGTTGATGCACCGTTTGTGGCATTTTTGATTTGACGTGTGAAGAAGGCGATTCACAATGAACAAGATATACGTAAACCACGTAAGTCATGGAATGGGGTTTCAAAAATTACCTACAAACACTTATTAATTCTGTATATGATTAAAGCAATAAGATTCCGTTGTCGCTATTTTAGGCAAAGTAAACGAGAAAAGTAACATAAGTTGTTTATTTACTTTCCCTTTGTTTGTGCACGCAGAATACAAATGCTAAAGAGAGCGCGCAAAACAAACTCAAGTGCCTTTCGATGTTATTTTCGGATTCTGATGAATTCGGCTTACGGAGGCGGTCACTGATAGCGCTCTTTCGATCTTAGTAGGCCAAATTCGACGTTGGAGGTTCTTAATAGATATGAAGTAACATGAAAGGAGCTTGAATTGGCTTTCTCCGTAGATAGTCTTGGTGGGCTTTCACCTCCTCGTTAAGCTCCAAATGATTGATGTAAAACAAATGGTGCCTCTGTGTCTCACTCTGTGTGTGCATGTGCACGCCTAACGAAAGGGGTAATGACAATGAATTTGGATACACCAGCTCTGTTTGTGGACATCAATCCCTTTGCCGGACAGTTAAAGTGAATTCGAGTAATTGAGATCAGTGAAAACATCCATTTGTAGCGTAGCCGATTGAAACTCAAGCCGTCACAAGGAAAATACTGACACCTGGAAGGTAGCCCCACTCAGTGGACAGGCAACGAGCTTTCCATATTAAGTCCCGAAGTATTTTTACCCCAGCCGAATGGTTCAAGAGTCACTACATTATAAAATATTCAAAATGTAAGGATTCGTTTATAATTATTGTTGGAGGCGGGAAGGATGGGTTCATGAAACCTGGAAAGTCTTGAACCCACAATACTGATATTTTATGCCATTTAAATAAATTCGCTGCATTGAAAATACTGGTATAATTTTCTCCCCATCCTAAACGGTAGGTTGACAGGATAAATGTGCCTTTTAAGTATCGACCTCAGATCGCCCTATTCACGGATGGTATTTCATACCAAATTGACAGTAATTTATGAGTAATGTTTCAACAATAATTTATCCCATCGCTTTTAATGGACCCGAAACCCTTCATTTTAAATGAGCAATCTCGTTAATAATTTCATTAAGCTCACTATGCTATCGTTGATTCCAATTTGAATGTAGATTGAGCATCAACAAATTCCACAAAGTTCCGTAATGCTTGTAAAGAACGAAAACCTTGCATTAGGTGAGCAAACTCATCTAACAACTTTGGAAGATAATTTATTAAAGAAGAGTGACGTATTTCTTGGATCCACCTAAGTAAAAGAGTAATTGAAGTCGTTAGTGCGTTGCGCTCAATGCAAACGAACTGCATTTGGAAATGGGGATCATTCAGTATAGGCGACCATAGAAGGACTAGTCTTACATGTAGTGTAATAGAGATTCATAGAGGTCCCCACATTTTGGTAACCTTGGTACCTTCAAGGCAATGGTTTGTGACTTTCCCTTTGAAAGCACGCGAAAGTGTTGGTCTCTTGCTTCTAGTTGGCTCACTAATACAATACGGATGCGTAATGAGGAAGGAATTTGTACCTCTCTGCGCCCTTTTGGACAAAAATAGATGAGTCCTCCTACTCGGCCAAATGTCACTACTGTTAATGACTAATCAATCTGTCTGTTTCACGTTTTGTGCGGTAGTTCATAACGCTTTGAAGTCGTGGCACTCATCTGGCAAAAGTCAAGCGAAAAACAGTTTTTAAATTACTTTTTACTTGTAATCTAATCTGTTTTACTGTGCATTTATGGATTTAATTACATTCTCTGGAGTGTACTTTCGTCCATTTGGATAGATCCCAATACTCAAAACAGAAAAAAGTGGGAAAGTCGTGCAGGAATCTTATAGAATGTGATTTTGACTTGAGATTTGTCATCAACGAAAATCCAACCGATGCATGCAGAGCCAATAGCTGGAGATAATGCTTAAAGTGGGGAAATACGTTATATACCACGCGACCGAATACAGAACACAGAAAAAATTAAGAAAACAGGCTAGGTGAAGGAGGTTAAAGTGCTGGAGACAATTACCACTGGTGCTGCCGTAATAACTTACCTGAAATGAGGAATCTGGATGGGATGGACAGTTAAGTTTGTATAGGGAGCACCGGAGCCGATTCATGAGGAAGGCGCAATCGGGACGAAGGACCCGACTTTTTGGCACTGGACGCTGAATAAGGCTGAAGTTGGCGCAACGTCGCCTTTCAAATTGCAATGAAAGGCAAAGCGAATGCATCAGACCCTTGTTTATCCAGACCCCATTGCGCTGAATCGAGTGCTCTACGAACGACTGCTCACCCCTCGATGTCACTGCATGCCTCTGGGGGATGAGTAAGAGTAGGACACAGAAGAAGGCATTTGAGCTGACGTAATCCATGGCAGTTCATAGACTGGCATTCAACTGAGTGGTTGACCTGCGTAGGGGTTAATTTTCCATCAAGTAGTGCTTAGGGTGAGAGAGAGGGACGGAGAGAAGTGATGGTAAAGGAGAAACAGAGGAAATTGCACCGCCACCACCGCTGTTGCAGCGCGCTTGCGTCGCGCCAACCGTGAGGGGGCTCACGGTTGTGTCTTGTGTACGCTCACGCACACACGCACATATGCCCACAGTCGCTGAATCGCGTACACACGCCTGCTTTATCCTCCCTCGGTGGTGTCAATTGGCTCATCAATGCACGGTGTCCATACCTGCGTTCGTGTGCGCATGCGTGTGCGTGCGTGTGTTCTTCTTTCTCACTCACTCCTTCTGCCTCTATTATTCTCCTAATGGTCTTCTTGTCCAACTCGTCGGTGTCATTGGAGGGCGGTTAGCGCCGGGTGCGTGTACTGTAGCCTATGCAGTCCCTCGACCAATCAGTGGCCGACGCATGGCTTTCCCCCTTGTCCTTTCCCTCCTCCATCTCCCAGGCCACGAGGGCAATAAAAGTCTACGGCTTTAGGGCATGTGTGGTCGTCAATACGCCGGGTTTTATTGAATTAGTCAGTCAGTGCCCCATTATTGTTTGCAGACTTCCACAAGATTAATTACGCCTGTAGACTCGCACAGTCATAAAATGTAGATCTACGTCCTCACCCAGATGTTGTACTAACAACGGCGTACTTGGCGCTCTGCCGAAAAGTAGTGTACACGTGATCACTTAGCCATATAACCTCACTTCTAGCATTCATTTTCCCTTCATCCCGTT